CTGGAGCGACGCATAGTCTGCCTGCTTTTGCGCAGGGATCTTTCTCGGCGTTATTATTTTTGGCCACCGCTGGGGTTTCGGGACCCCTCCCGTCCCGGGCAACTCATCTCCCTCCTCCTGTCCCCACCCGATCAAGGCGTCCAGGAATAAAGGGTTCCCGTACTTGGAGCCTAGAGGCCGCCATGGAGGGGACTCCTGAAGAGATTTCTCAGTTTTGGTCGCAGCCGATCCCCTCTTAGAGTTCCATGATGGGTGGGGCTACGGTGCTTATCCTTCCAAGGGTTCCCTTAGCAGTTAGAACCCTTCTTCCCGCTCCTCCATTCTCACAAAGGGATCAAATGGGGTTAAGAAGGTCAGACATTTTCTAGTTGGGTCCCCAACTCAGACCCCAGACTCAAAAAATAGAACAGGAAGCTAAGGACTGAGGGGATCAGCCTAGCCATCTGGACTTTGTCTAGGAGTGTAGGAAAATCAAGTTGGGGAAGGTGTAATTCTGTTTACAGCAGCAAGCCAGGCCTCCCCTTACTCAGTTTCCCTTTTGCATCTTGGGTTACTTCTAGACAGCCCACTAAAATTCAGATTTGTGTTGGGTGCCATTGCGTGGGAACTGACTTAGCTGACCTCCTAGCAACCTCTAGGTTTTCAGAGACAGTAAATTGCATGGGAGAAGGTTGCCCAGCCTTCTCTCACCCAGCACCTGGTGGATTAGAACTTTTTGCCTTTGAGACAGCAGCAGCACAGCTTCTTGGCACTAGAGCTGTCTGGAATTTCAATAGGAGCTTGCAACCCAGCTGGAAGCTGGCACAGCCCTCCTCTTGCACGTAAGGTGGCTCTTGGACTTCAGCTCTGGAAAATGGGGCCCCAGGTCCACCTGTCTGGAAGGTGCTTGGGAGGGTTAAGTGGGAGTGGCAGCGTGTTAGCTCACTGGCTGGAACTGTGCAATCTGCATGTTCTACACTTCCACCTCCACCCCTTGCAGGCTCCATGCTGGGAGGAGGAGAATCTTAAAGACTGTCCCCCACCTGCCCCCTGCTTAGAAGACCAGTAAAATTTTCCTGTGTCTCCTCCTAACAGCTCTGCTCCTCCCCCAGTCCTTCATGTCCTGGGAAAGGGGGCTCCCCGTCCATCCAGGTGCTTCAAGCTGGGACCTGGAGCCGAGCGTGACTACTCTTCCCTTCTCTCATCCCATACGTCCAATCCATCAGCAGATCTTGTTGGCTCTGATTCCAAACTACATCCCAATTCAGAGCTTCTGACCCCTTTCCCCCACCCGGCTACGGATGTGTCTAGGCGCCACCCCTCTCTCCTCCCAGCTTTCCAGTTTTATCTGCCCAGCCTTCCTGGGGAACTTGTCAAAGAAGCAAACGGGGCACCTCTCCTCAGCCTCGGCTTTCCTTCCCCTCCCTCCTCTGTCCTGCTCTGTATCAGCTACTCTCGTCCTTACTGGTCCTTCAGATCCACTAGGCTTTTCATTCATTACCCTGGAGCACACTGGCTGCTCCCTGTCAGGGATGCTGTTCCCAGAATCTTCCCCCCCAAATTCATCTTCCCAGCTGTCCCCTTCACCTTGTTGCATTGTCTTTGTGACATGCATGGGTCTCTCTGCTTTTGCACATCTAGCCTTGGAGACTCATGAGTGCTGGCCCAGTGAATGTGCCCCACCACAGCTGAATCAGTATTTGCAAATGTAAAAGACTTTTCAAGTCCTCCAAGTAGCAAGGAAGCTCAGAGCATATTTCTCAGGGTTCTCCACAAGGCTTGTGCCAGGGAAGCTGGTCAGGACCCAGTACTCGCCGATCTTTACCGACAAGAATTTTAGAGTTTTGGATCTGGCTCAGTCCTGCCCTCTAGGTGGCTGGCATCTCCCTGGGTGACCCTTGACCTCTTCTTTTGACTTTAGTGAAAAGGTCTTGACTCCAAATTGAACTCTTTCCTGCCCTTTGTGTCTCCAGTGACATAAACCCTTTCTTAGTCCAGCTGCTTCTTTGCAGCAAGGAGAACCTTCTGGCAAATATTGACCTAAGTCCTTGAGGGTGGCTGGGAACCTTGAGGCAGAAGGAGGGAGCTCTGGCCCTCTTCTCTTCAAGAGGCCGCTGTGGAAAGAGGGAGAACTTTTTAGTCTTGCCCCTCCCACTCAAGGGTCCTTTGGGTGAAGGTTTGGGATTGGGTTAGGGGGCCCTCTGGCCCCAGCTTCCTGGCGGCTTTTGGGGTTCTGAGGCATTTTAGGCCCCGGAAGGGGTGGTGGGACTCAGAGCCAATGGGAGCCTCTCTCATGCCCCAACCCTTAGAATTGAGCCTGAACCTGGAGCCCCACAGGTTGAGATTAGAAGCTTTGAGTTCTAGGCCCACACTCTTAGGAAAGGTTCAGGTGAGGGGTGTGGCTGGGGTGTGGGTGTGGAGTCCTGTGAAGATGCTAAAAATGGGAGTTGGGCAGCAGACCCCTAGGACTAGAGGTGGACCCCAGAAGAAGGGCCAGCATGTGTCCTAAATATGATCATTTGACATCTCCACAAGTGAGCCTGGGAGCCCAGAGGCCTGGGTGCCAAGCCAGAGCACCCTTGCTCTTCAAAAATTCAGATCCCTTCCAGGGGGGTTCTTGACAGCTGGAGCATCCTAGGTCTCTGCCCGCCCCACAGAACCTGATGGTGAGGACCTGTGTTTTCAACCCCTCTGCACCTTGGAGAACTCTGGAGTCTGGGTCCTAGGAGGTGACAGGGGGTACTGGAGAGCCAGTTGGTGCTGCCCCTTCTCCACCACTCCCCTTCAGCGAGCGCCGGCGCCGCGGTGCCGAGCCGCCTCCCCGATCTGTACCCAGCTTAGGGGTGGGGGTCAGCGGGGTCGTGGTGAGGGCGGCAAGGGACAAAGGGCGCTTGTCCGCTGCCCGCCCTGACCTCGGCCGATGCTTCCCGGACGCCTGGGCCGCTGCTGATTCACGCCCTGCGGCCGCGGCGCCCCCCACCCCACCCACCGCCCCCGGCCGAGCCGCCCCGGGGGGTAGGAAGTGGGGGGGAGAGGGGCGGCGCCGAGTCAACTTTCCCTCTTAAGCCCCGAAGGAATGTCGGCGGATTTCCTGAAACCCGACCCCGGCCGCCCGGCGGCCCACCCGCCCCTCACCTGGACCCGCTCCCCTGGGAACAGCAGGAGGGGGCGCGGGGGCTCACCTGGGGGGCTAGGGTCAAGTCCTCCTTCCGTTCTCCCCCCCAGCGGCCTCGAGGAGCGGAAAAGGGTTGGGGGCGGCAATCCAACCTACTTCCCCTTCTTCGGGACGAACTGGGCCGGCAGCACGATCCCTCGGGCCTCAGTTTCCCTTTCTTCCAAAGGGGTTGGTTGTCTCTGGTGGTTGAACTTTTTAAGATGCTTCTTATGCTCGACGCCGCCTAGTCTGTTAGGGTTCTGTTAGCCTCTCTTTGCTTCTTGCCACCTGGCCTGGCCCTTCTTGACTCTCTGAACCTCAGTTTCTTCATCTGAAAACTGGGTAATGCCCCCATAGCTACCTTATAGAGGGACTGTGGTTGGTGGGTTGTGGTGTTGTGTTTTTTAAAAGAAAAGGTTAGAAAATGCTTTGTTTGTAATTCATAAATGAATGACAGTCATGATCAGGGAAGGCACAGGCAGGCAGGGCTCTGGAATGAACACGTGTGTGAACTCGGTTTCTGGTTCCACGAGGGTCCAGAGGCCTCAGTTTCCCACCTGTGAAATGGGTGACAGGTCTGTTTCCAAAGGCGTGGACCTAGAGCGCGGTGAGCTGGATGCGGGGTTCGCCGTCCTCCGGCAAACCGCAGCCAAGAGGCCCTGGCTGTGGGGTCGCAGCGGCCTCCGCCCGGCAGGGGCGGGGCGGAACGGGGGAGGGGCCGCGCCGGCATCCAGATGTTCGGGGTCCGCCAGGAACAGCCGCGCCTGATTAAGCCACGTGGGGGCCGGCCCGGGCCGCTGAGATGAAAGCGCAGCGGCCGGCCTGCAGAGGGGACGCGCCAGCCCCCCGGGTCCCCTCCTCCCCAGCCGGAACCTGCGGCGCCCTCTGACCCCCCGACCCCGCGTGGCTGCCGCCGCGTCTGCGGGGGCGGAGCCTGTTCTGGGATCCGCCAGCGGCGGCGCTGCGAGGCCTCCGCGCGCACCTGCGGCGGGCGCGGCCGGGACAGGAGGGAGGGGGGACCCCAACTTTAGAGGAACGCCGGCATCTCGAACCTGGGAAGGCAGGGAGGGGCGGCAATGATCTTTACCTGGAGGTCCGGAGTATGGGGTTGCGGGCAGTCACTGCAGGATGCGACAGTTCTGGAAGTCAGAAGTGCTCCTGCTTGCCCCCAGTTATCTTGCAACCACCTTGGACCCCTGCCTGTGTACATCCCTATGTCCACTCACAACTAGGGAAGACGCCTTTCTACCTGGGGTGGGAGGACTTCCCGGAGGAGACAGCCTGTGCACTTACTTAACTGCCTATCTGAGCTGAATGTCCATGAGAAAATGTCACAGACTTTCCTGAGGCCTGCGCAGACCCCATCTTGCCTTCCACTCCCTCCTCTCTCTCTCTTCCTGGCTTTGCACCTACCACCCCCCCCTCTTCCCATCTTTGTAGGACTAGCTACTTTCTGCCTCAGGACCTTTGCATGATCTCTTTCCTCTGCTGTGGTGCTTTTCTTCCTGCTCAAACATCACCTCTTCTTGTTCTTTCTGGATACCCTTAGTCAATGGGGTCTCCCTACCACGTTATCCTGTTTACTTCGTTTAGATTTCTGTAGGTACCAGAAGATGTCTTGCTCCCTCCCCCCCGCATTCCCGCCTAGATGGGACTGGCCGGAGCAGAGTGATCTACGTCCACCTGCCCGGGGTCACGTGCCCTGTTGGCCTTCACCCAGCCGGTGCCGCAGCGCGCTCCCCCCGCCCATTCTCCGCATGCCCCCACCCCCCGTTCCCAGGCTGCCTCGCTCGGTGACGTCAGCGCCCGGTCCCCGCCGCCGCCGCCGCATCCTCGGCGCCGCGCCCCGGATCCAGCGACAGCGGCCATGGCGACCGCAGCGCTGCTACCGCTGCTGTTGCTGCTGCTGCCGCCCCCCACCGCCCCCGCGCCGCCCGCGCGTGATCCCTTTGCCCCGCAGCTCGGGGACACGCAGAGCTGCCAGCTGCGGTGCCGCGACCGGGACCCCGGCCTGCGGCCCTCGCAGGTGAAGCGCATGCTGCGCCAGCCTGTGTACCCAGGCCCCTCTGAGGGGGTATAGGATGGGGATCTCTTTGGCAAAAATGGGGTCTATAAGATAGGGGCGAGTGAGGGCTCGGGGCACACCTGATGGGGTAGATAATTGGGCATGGATCCCTCGCATGCAGCAGGGGGACAAAGATGGAGGTCTAGTGTGGAGATTATTGCACAGATGGGGGTATGGGTGATGGGAGTCCCTCCGGTGGGGGTGGAGTGATAGAGGAACCAGAGATGTACCTCCTGCAATGGAAGAACCCTCCAACGGAAGGGAGCAAGGGCTTCCAGTCCCTTCTGTGGGGACTGGCTGAAAGGAGTAAGACTGAGGTTCTTCCTGTCACCTTCTCCATGTCACCTCCCCATCCGTCCCACCTCCCTCTTCCTGAGCTCCTGCTGTATCCACTGCCCCATGTGCTTGTGTTTGCACTCACATCCTCCCCAATTTCCCCAGGCCCAAAAGATACTGAGACTGCCTCCCTGGAGCTCCCGTTTCAGTCTCCTCCTCCATGGATGTTACTGGCTTAAATTTTTCTCCATTCTCCCCCAAACCCTGGTCTCCCATTGTCTAGCCATTTCCTCAAGCTTCCTCACCTCCCTCCAGAGCTCCTATTCTTCTACCTTCCCCCAAGCTGAAGCTAGATTTTTCTGGGGTGGGTGAGCACGTCCATCTCTCTCCTCTGAATGCTATGGCCCTCTCTTCACATCCAACTGGCCTAGTCCTGTGTTCCTCCTAGGCAGGGCCCGTGAGCCCCTCTGAGTTGCCGTATGACAGGGCGGTCCTGGTCAGCGCCTGTGAGCGAGGCTGCCGCCTCTTTTCCATCTGCCGCTTTGTGGCCCGGAGCTCCAAGCCCAACGCCACCCAGACCGAGTGTCAAGCAGGTGAAAACAAGTGGGGGGGGGGCGCAAGGGACCTGAGATGGGAGAAGGGACCTGGGGGGGGTGGTCTGAGGTGCTCCTCTGGCAGGGTCCTATCTACCCCATTCTACCCTTCCCACTTCCAGCCTGCGTTGAGGCTTATGTGAAGGAAGCAGAGCAGCGGGCCTGCAGCGAGGGATGCTGGAGCCAGCAGCTGGAGCCAGAGGCTGAGCCAGACTTGGAACAGAAGGTGGACATCCCATTTACCTCTTCCCTCCTGCGCCCCAGCTCCTTCCCTGTGCCACCATCACCCATCTGTCCAGTGTCATTAAATGGTGTCACTTCTCCAACCTCAGCTGTCATCTCTGTGACATGGAAAGAGTCTCTGTTGCCACCCCTCCTATGCCCCTGCAAGAAATGGTATTCCCCCCGTCTTGTTGGGTACCTAGTCGGATCCGACTGGCACAGGAGGAGATTGCCACTCCTTCACCAGCAGAGCATCTGGTGGATTCAAACCGTGCTCCTTCGAGATTGTAGCACAGATCTTTGCCCTTAGGCCACCAGAGCTCCCTTAAAAATGGCTTATTGAGCATTAATAAGAGCCTATTAAGCAGAGCTTTTCCCAAATTTCTTGAGTCACTGATTGGCGGCTCTATCTTGTCTAGTGCCCAGACAGCAGCTTCCCAGGCTCATAAAGCTGGAGCTGTGCAGAGGTGGAATTTGAACTCAAGGACACTGGGCTGGCTTCCAACCCTTGGCTCTTTGTCCTCAGCACCACCAGAGCTGATTTTATTGAGCACGCGTTGCATGCCAGATGCTGAACTAATCTTGTTCTCTGTGTGGGTACATTGGCTCCATAGTGGTCACTGTCATCTGGGAGGGGCTTAGGACAGGGGCTCATGAGGAAGTTGCCAATAGGAATGGCCTTCCAGGGAGAAACAATACTCACTCACCGGTTGTCAACTATAGAGCTGATGGTACAGTAGGTTAAGTATTGGAACGCTCACCAACAGGCCAACAGTTTGAGTGCGCAGGACACTTGGCAGAAGAAAGGTGAGAATGTTTGCGCCTTTAAAGATTTTACAGCCTCAGAAAACCCCTGGGGCAGGTCTATTCTTGTCCTGTAAGTCCCTGAATCAGTGGGTTTGGTATTTGCTTATCATCTCTGCACTAGTATAGGATGTATTATAATTTCACAGATGAACAAACCAAGGCTCAGTAAGGCATTCAGCTCAGCCAGGGGCCCTTGGAGCTGCAGCTCCATGCCTCAAGGCTCTCCACGCCTCTAGGATGTTTTGATGTTCAGAAAAGCTCTGTCACTACCTCCCTTCCTATTCTGAGCTCCTCCTAAACATGGTAGAAACAAGAGTGATGATGGCAGTGAAACAGCAGCTAATAGTCATTAGACTCGTGTGCTGTGCTCAGCTTTTGGCAGATGGTGGCTTGATGGCAGTCCTATGAAGGGAGGGATCGTTACCATGTCAGGGCTCCAAGAGGGTAATCGGCTTTGAGGCAAAAGAGCAAGCCAAACGCAGTGCCAAAGTCTGTGTTCATTATCTGATGATCTATTTGATGTGCCCTAAACCACTTAGATCTGCTCACCAGTTCTCCCAGCCTCTTCCCCTGTCCCTGCCCCTTATTTTGGTCCCCCTGATTGGTTAGTCCCCTACCTGGCTGACATTTCTGTGCTTTGGCTCTCCCTGTCCCCAGAGGAAAGGTCTGGAGGCTCCCAGTGGAGCACTTTCCCTCCTGGAGCTGTTCTCCACCCTCTGCAGTGACTTTGTCAACTCAGCCCAGGGCTTTGTGTCCTCCACATGGACGTACTACCTGCAGACGGACAGTGGGAAGGTGGTGGTGTTCCAGGTGAGGCCAAGAGGGGCCTGGTCGGGGTAAGGAGGGGTCAAGCTTTGGCTTTTGGCTCATGGAGGCACAGCTGGACCGCAGGGACTCAGGGTCCACACGTCCGTCTCCTGAGCTTGCTTTTCCCTTGTGGCAGCATCATTCCCAGGCAGACCCACCCCTCCTGAGAGCAAGATGGATACCCAAGGTATCAGATAACAGCCCTTTGGGGTTGCCACATCAGCTGGTTTTATTCTGACCAGCCCTGGCCAGGTTTGTGGCCACCTCTTAGCTCATCCTTGGCTGACTGGCTTCTGGAGCTGGAGAATGAGGTCAAAGAAAATCAAGAGTGCCCACAGAAGTGCGGAAAAAGAATCCAGACATGGATGCCCAGTCTTATGGGGGAGAGTCCTCTTTTTGACCCTCCAGCAGAGTTAGGTGCTAGCTTCTGGGATATCCCGTCCAAGTGGTGTCCTTCCTGTTCTCTTCTTGTTCTCTTGTCCCTGGCTCAGACGCAGCCTGTAGTGGAGAGTCCTGAGCCCGAGGGGGCGCACCTACAGCGAGTGGAGGTCACCTGGAGAGGATCCCACCCTGAAGCCCTGGAGGTGCATGTGGGTAAGGTCTGGCCTCACTGAGATTTCTCCCATGGGGTCCTAGAGTCCATGAGTCCTGGTAGATATCTTACGTTGGGGTCTCTAGCTCTCAATTTCTGGGGTTACATAAGCTACCTTCTAGAGTTTCGTTGTCCGTCTCCCAGGGTCCCGCAGTCCATCATGAAGTTCTTAGAGTCCCATGGGCTACCTCCCAGGGTTCTGTGGTTCATCTCCTGGGATTCCACATCCCATCCCTGAGAGTCCCAAGGCCCATCTCCAAGGTTCTGCCCTCCTTCTCCAGGACGCCATGTCCTGTCCCCTAGTCCTGGCCTCCTTTCTCCCATGCACCACTGGAAAGGTCTTCTGGGGAAAAGACATTTTGCTGAGCAGTGTCACTGTTCCTTAGACCCCATGGGCCCCTTGGACAAGGTGAGGAAAGCCAAGATCCGAGTCAAGACCAGCAGCAGCAAGGCCAAGGCTGAGTCCGAAGAGCCCCAGGACAACGACTTCCTCAGCTGCATGTCCCGGTGAGTGTACCCTGGGGAAGGCTGGGATGGGAACCAGAGGGGGAGGTATTCTCCCTTGGCCCCTGTCCAGGGCACTGAGCAGTGCCTGTGGGCTGGACAGGCGTTCAGGGCTGCCTCGATGGATCCTGGCCTGCTGCCTCTTCCTGTCTGTGCTGGTGATGCTGTGGTTGAGCTGTTCTACCCTGGTGACTGCACCTGGCCAGCACCTCAAGTTCCAGGTGGGCGGTGCCAATAGGGGCCTGTGGGCGGAGCTGGACGGACCAGGGGCGGGGCCTGGTGAGGGGCGGGGCTGTCCCTGTGGAGTTGCTGCCTTTGGCCACTCCTCCTCCTCTGGAGGCGGAGAGCCCTGAGTTGTCAGTGCGGGTTGGGGGGGGGGGGAGAAGCCCACCCTCAATCAGGGAATCATGAGGTTAGAGGTGGGAAGGAGCCTGGCTGGAGCAGGGCGTCTCAAGCGGCCTTCCCTCTTTGACTCTTCCGTAGCCCCTGACGCTGGAGCAGCACAAGGGTTTCGTGGTAGAGCCGGATTGGCCCCTATACCCCTCCCACCCCTGTGAGGACAGCCCCCCACCTTACCAGCTGAAGCTGGACTTCACCAAACTGTAGACCCCTATCCCTGAGCCTCACGGACCTTGGAAGCTCCTTGGGTTAGGGCAGGGAGATCCTTGGGCGGGGCTTGTCTAGCACTGGAGTCTGAGACTAGAGGTGAGGCGGGGTTCTCCTTGGTCTCTTCCACCCACTCTTTCTCTCTCCCAGTCCTGCCCCTCCCCCAGGCTCTGGGGGATGAGAAGCCCTGGTTTGGGGTCAGGATCCAACTTTGGCTCCTCATGGCCCCCCCTTACCCTTAGCGTGCTACATTTTGTCTTCTGTTGTGTGGCTTCCTGAGTATTTGAAATCAGTTCTGTGTCACCCCCTCTTTCCTCTCATCTCCTCTCAGGTAGGCTGAGGCCTGGCGGGGTGAGGGAGAAGCTACCTCCTGCTGGGAGGGTTCCTCTCATTTTCCTGCCCAGCCTCCTGGGACCCCAGTCCACACCAGACGGGGCGGCTGGGCCTGCTGCATGGGGCACTGGGAGGAATAAAGTGTATATAAAAGACATCTCGAACTGAGTCGTCTTCTGTTCATCCCTCCCGCTGCCTTTGGGGCCTGAACAAGGGGTGGCCCTGGGTGCTGGTCCACTCTGAGCTGGGGGAAGCCTCTGCTGGCACAAGAGTGCGAACCAGCTGCCTGCTTAGAGGACACACCTTTTTCTGCTGCCCAGTCCACATTAGACTTTGAATATCAGAGGGGAGTTTGCTGGGAAAGGGACTCATGCTCTTGGCTAAGTGTCCTCTAGCCCATGAATTAAACACCTTGGAATATCCTTGCACTGCCTACAGGGTATCCGCATCTCGGCATCCTTCCCATCATCCTTTTCCTGACTTAGCATTGGAGAGGTATCATGAGGAACATAACCAGTGTCCTTTGTTGCCAAGCTTCTGCCTCTGCTACTGGCCACCAGAGGTTCCTGGCTGGCTTGGGCTTCATCTGGAGAGACTTCGTGATGAGAAGCACAGTGATCCCAGTCTAGAGACTGCAGTCTGGGGGGCTGCACACTAATAGCTTTGTGGGTGATGGAGGGGAAGGTTAGCATTTCCACTTCCTGTTGTCAGTGTGTCTCCCCACTGTTGCCACTAGTGGACATGAATGGGAGGAGGGTGAGGTTGGGGTTTTTCTCCCCATTCTCTTTTTACTTCCTATCCATACAGCTACCTCCACCTCTGAACACACCAATATCTTTGAAAGTCACCTCTTATTTAATTTTTTGGGGTCTTTTTTTAGGAAGCCTGCTGGCCTAGTAGCCAAAGTCATGTGATTTGAATCCACCAGCTTCTCCGAAGGAGGAAGACGGGCAGCGTCCTCCCATGCAAATTACTGCCTTCAAAAACCTGCTGGAGAGTCAGCTATGATTAATTTCTGATTTGATGGTACACAACAGCAACAACTTAATTTTTTTAAATCGTGAAAATAGACATAACTAAACATGCCATCTCAACAATTCTACATATGGAATTCAGTGACACTGACTATAGTTTTCAAGCTACGCATCCATTCATTCTGTCCCTTCCACATCATCCCATAAACTCCAAACCAGACCCGTTGCCACAGGGCCAATTCTGATTCACCGTGTCCTGGAAGGACAGAGTGGAGCTGACCTGTAGGCTTTCCAAGGCTGAAATCTTTTTTTTTTTAAATTTTTTTATTGTATTATTCTTACGTGTACCGTCAAATCAGATCTGACTGGTACAGGAGGAGATTGCCCTCTCCTTCTCCAGCAGAGCATTTGGTGGATTTGAACCGCGTACCTCTGGGATTGCAGTGCAGTGTCTTGCCACTAGGCCACCAGAGCTACCTTATAACCAAGGCTGAAATCTTTACAGAAGCAAATGGCCATATTTTTCTCTGCAGGGTGGTTCTGTCTTCGTGTAGTGCCAAGTCAGAATCGGCTCATAGCTGACCCTCTGGTGAAGTTTTCAGAGTTAGTATAATCTCACAGGAGAAGATTGTTCATTTTTCTCCTGTGGAGCAGCTGGTGGATTCGAACTGCCTGCCATCAGGTTGGAAGCACAGTTCCTTATCATTAGGCCACCAGCCAAATGGTGAGCAGGATTCAAACCACTGACCTTTGGATTAGGGTTCTTATTACTTTTTCCCCGCTTCTTATTCCACTTGCCAACCCTCAGCCTCTAGCCCAGACAATTATCTTTACCCCTGTGGCTGTCGCCAACTCCTGTGTCACCTCTGCTGATAACTCCCTGCATTTCTCCAGCCAAAATGGAGAGAGCTCTTGGTAGATAGCAAATCCCCCCTCAAGTTTATCTCCCTTTCAGGGTTTACTGATGCTTTGAGAAGCTCAGACAATGAAATGTGCTGAGCCAGCCCCTCACGATCTAGTCTCTCATAATCACATCTCCAGTCATAGAAGTTGCCCCTGCTAACTGTACCCTGCCCTCATGGGGTCCCTGTGGGTTCTCAGGGACTTCTTTGTTCCTTCCTGTCCAAGGATCTTTGTTGTTGTTGTTAGGCGCCATTGAGTAGAATATGACTCTCAGCAACCCTATGAACAAAAGATCTGAACCCTGTTCTGTCCTGAAGCATCCTCACACTTCCTGACACACAAGAGCCTGTTGCAGCACTTTGTCAGTCCTTCTGGTTGAGGGTCTTTCTCTCCTTTGCCAACCTTCCACCCTTCCCAATATCATGTCGTTATCCAAGGAATAGCCCCTCCAAGCAGCATGCCCGAAGTATGTGAGGTGAAGCTTCATCATTTTTGTTTTTGTGTGCCGTCGAATCAGTTTCAACTAGCACAGGAGGAGACTGCCCCTCCTTCTCCAGCAAAGCATCTGGTGGATTCAAACCTCATGCCTTGGGGATTGCAGCATAGCTTCTCGCCACCAGGCCACCAGAGCTCCCTCAAGCCTCATCATTCTTGCCTCCAAAGAGCACTCTGGCTGTACCCTCTCCAAGACATATCCATTTGTTCTCCTGGTATATTCTGTGCTCTTCTCCACCACCACAGCTCAAAGACGTCAGTTCTTCTGTCATCTTTACTCATTGTCCAGCTCTCAGATGCATAGCAAATTATCAGAAAAACTATGTCCAGAATCAGATACATCTTAGTCCTCAAACTGACATCATTACTCCTCAATAATTTAGAGAAGTCCTAGCTGCAGATTTCCTCAGTGCAATGTGTCTCCTTATTTCCTGACTGCTTGTACCAAGGATCTGTGCTGAGAACCTCTTCCTTCCCAGCCCTGCTCCAGCCTCATGCTCACAATCTCAATTTTAATGGTTCCTCAAAACCAAAAAAGGCAAAGACATCTTGACCTGACCCTTTCCAACCAGCCCAGAGGAGACCCTGTGACACCCCTGTTCGGCTCACTGCCCTTGCTCTTGGAACACTAAATAACTCTGGTCTCCTTTGATGCAGTTGTCTAAGCTCCCTGAGGGTAGCTGCTGAGCTCTCCCAAGGCACCTAGCACAGACTGCTTGGCCAGGAGATATTTTGCTTAGTTGTATCCTTAGTTTTCACTTGAACCACAAATCCATCCTGCTTCCAGGTTCTCCCAGTTTCAGTGGCAGTGCCAAGTCCACTCCCCACATAGGGTCAAGCCCCTTCTGTGCTCAGATATGCCATCCCCACCATGATTTTCTGTTCCTGTTACATGGATACCCCTGACTTCCCTGCCTTCCTTACCATCCTCGCAGCCCCCTTGCTGACTGCTTCCCTCCCACCTTTTGACGCAGAGCTAAGAGGATGCTTTCCTCCTCATTCCCAGAAGTAATTGCAGTGGCCCCCGCATCCCGACCTTGCCACCACTACTCTCTCAGCTTGAGATGTGTGTGGACTTGGGAGGACCCTCCCCAGTACCTGGTGCCTGCGACTCTCTTCCTTCTTTCTAATAGGTTTGCTCTGACACTAGGCACATGCGTTGTGACTAGTTGGAGGAGGGAGAATTAGGTGGTAAACGGAGACTGACACAAGGAGGGGGCAGCTGAGTAGGACTTTGAGGGATGGGAGAATCTAGAGAGAAGAGAGGGCATCCCAGGTGGAGGGAGAAAGTTCTCTGTGTGTATGTGTACTCTGACACACATGTACATGTCCAGAGAAAACCAGGGTCCAGGCCCTGGTCCCTCCTGCCTGTGTCTTTGTCCAGTCTCCCCTGCAACTGCACTGGGTTCTATGCAGTTAGGGTCACAGCATGAACATCAGAGTCATTGCACGGCGGTCCCTTCTGCATGGATGGCTCCCTCCCTAGTGTTGACTGTCTGACCCTGCTCTTGCTTAATTTGTCTAGTATTATTTTTTCCACTGTTTCAGTTCATCGTCTTCTGTGTCTTTCTTCCTCATTTACTTTTTTATGGGCTTATTGTTCATCTCTTCCCCCCCACACTGGACACCTTGTGAGCGGGCCAGCCCAGGTAAGCTTTGGCTCCATCATCCTATCCACTCATACAGCATATGGCAGGGGCATTGGGCGCCAAAGGAAGGCCTTTGGGCTTCTTTGTCCAGTTACTTTTACCCGTTACCAAATCGTAATGAATTGCCATTGAGTTTCTGAAGCCGGGGAAAAGAAATTTTTTTTATACATACAGTAAATATTTTTTTTTTAAATTTATTTTAGTTCATTATTTTTTTGTGTGTACCATCAAATCAGATCTGACCGATACAGGAGGAAATTGTTCCTCCTTCTCCAGCAGAGCATCTGGTGGATTCGAATCGTGTACCTCTGAGATTGCAGTGCATCTTCTTATCACTAGGCCACCAGAGCTTGCTACATACAGTGAATCTTTATGAAAGAAGATTGTATTCCCCAGAGTAGCTGGTGAGTTCAAACAGCCAACCTCTTGGTTAGCAGCCTGACTACTACACCACTGCTCCTAGTAATTAATTCCTAGCCCTCTACATTTTTCCCCCTGGAATGTTCTGGAACATTCTAGACTCTTCCAAGATGTTCTGGAATGTTCTAAAACGATGTTCTGAAGTGTTTTGAAAGATTCTAAAATGGAGCTAGAGGCCACACATTACTGCAGTCTCCTCTGGAGTCTCAGGAGAAAAAGGCCCTTC